GTTCTCTCTCTCTCTGCCACTCTCAGGGAATGTTCCTGATCCCCCTGTCCCGCTCAGGAGAATCCAGGCGTTTATTCCAAGCCCTGGCAGCAGCTCCGGTTCCAACCCCTCCTTTCCTGGAGGAGCCTTGGGCGCCTCCCACGCCCTCCTGAGCTGGGAAAGGGAGAATCCCAGATCCCCTGGATCCCAAATCCCATGGATGGAGCAGCTCCATGGGATCCAGCAAAGATCCCCCTTCCACAGGGACACATCCAGCCCTGGAGCCCACCCCGATCCCTGCTGGGATCCAGGGGAAGGGAGTGCCCCGATCCATCCAGGAGCTCCCTCAGCCCTTGGGAAGGTTCAGTGGCTGCAGGGGACACGTGGCTCAGATCTGGATCCCAGTGTGGGATGCTCCAGGCAGGGATGAAGGAATGAAAGGAGAGTTACAAAACGCGAGTCCTTGGAGCAGGGAGGGGAATTTGGCCGGCACCGCTCACCCTTCCAGGCCTTAATCCCTTCGTTAGCACAGCCCGGCACAATTAAAGACAAACTCCCAGCCCTGCAATGCAGAGGGGCTGCGGGAGATCCCGCCAATTCAGGCACAGGAGTCTCCGGGATGAGGAGCCCTTCCCACCCCGGGCAGCTCCAAGGATTTTCCAGCTCAATTCCAAGAGCTCTCCTATTCCAGGGGATCCTCGTCCCCCCGGGCTGGGCAAGCAGGAACGTGGGGACAGCGAGGGCGGGATGGCAAAGCCACCTCTGCCCACTCCGAAGGGAATTGTGGGATCATGGAATGGGCTGGGAGGGACCTCAGGGGTCCCCACTATCCCAGGCTGCTCCGAGCCCCTCCAGAGCCATTCCAGGCTGGAAGAGGATCCAGCAAGTCCTGCCCGGCCTCTTTGGGAGCTCCCAGGACTTTGTTCCTCTCCATGACCCTGAGCTGTTGCTCTCCTTTGGGCTCGGGGATCTCTGCTCCGAACCATTCCCATGCACAGGGGAACTCCAGCAGAAGCCAAACGCGCTTCCCGAGGAAGGTTTGGATTCCAAAAATCCTCCCTGAAGGAGGTTCTGCCTGGGTGGTTGGGATGTAGAGGCACGGTGGGCACCGAGCCCTGCCAGGACAGCAAGGGGAAGCCACACAAGGGTTGGGAGGACGCAAAAATCCCTCTGTGCTCTGGTCGCAATTCCATCACAATCAACAATTCCAGACCCACTCCAGGTCCCTCTCTCTGAGTCTCCACAGCTTCTCCCTGCAGGTTCCAGCTCCTCTCTAAATCCCAGTTTTCCATCCCTGGCCCCACACCCTGGAGCCCCCCCCGCGTCCCGCATTTCCCTCCCCATCCATGATTATTCCTTTAATCCCGGGTTTAACGCCCCGCCCCGGGCTGCAGCCGCAGCCTCACGTCCCTCAAGTTCCCCTTCAGGGCTCTCCGATCCATCAATCGCATTTTGTGGGGAATGTTTGGAGCCAGAGCAGCTCCAGCCCAGCCCAGCAGCGGCTCCCAAAGCGCGGCTCGGGATTTACGGCAGCAATTCCAGAGAGTTCAGCGCCACGAGCCCGAGGGTGTCACCCGCTGCTGTCACCGCTCCTGTCACTGTTCCTGTCACCCTCTCCTGCCACCCGCTGCTGTCACCGCTCCTGTCCCCCGTGTCACGCGGAGCTGTCGAGCCGATGCTGCCGCTCCAAGCTCCGGTTTTTCCTGCAGCCGCCCACGGCCCCGGCCGGGCCTGGCACGGGCTGGGCACGGGTTGGGCACTGCCCGCTCCGTCCCGCTGTGCCCCGGGAACGCTGCCCCGGCCCCGGTGGCTGCGGGGGGCACGGAGCAGATTTCCCTGGCAGCGGGAGAGCCGCGGGGACAGCGGGGACCCGCCCGGCCAGGGCCACCTGCAACAGGTGGATGGAGCCTTGGGGACAGCAGGAGCTGCTGGTGGCCCTGGAGCTGCCCCAGATCACGAGATCAGGGCATTGTTTACATCGGAGAAGCCCCCCCAGGATGATCGAGCCCATTCCCAGCAGTGCCCAGGCCACCGCTGACCCCTGTCCCCAAGTGCCACATCCCTTCAAAGCCCTGCAGGGATGGGGACTCGCCCAGTGCCACTGCCTGAACACTGAAATTCTAAATATCCAACCTAATACCTTGGCACGAGGCCCTGTCCTCGTGTCCTTCCATCCTTCCCGGGGGGATTTGCAGCCCGGGGGGGTTCCACCCACGCCACTCCCGTGCAGTTTCCAGGGATGATCTCCCCTCTCTCCCTTCCCCTCCTGACGCCGGAGCCGTGGGGGGAGACCCCGAGCAAATTCCCCGGCAGCTTCCCAGGGGCTGCTCAGGGAAAACAGAGCCTCGCCCAAAGATCCTGGCACTGCCAGGAGCAGCTGCCACCCGCAGCCAGCCAGACCCTGCTCCCACCGCGTCCCTTCGCCACCAAAACCATTCCCAGCTCCTGTCCCACGCCCAGCCCTGCCCAGCACCCCCAGAACCAGCCCGGAGCAGCAGCTCCTCCGCCCTGGGCACGTTCCTGCCCAAGAACAGCGGCTGGGAGGAGGCAGAGCCCCCCTGGGAACGGGCAGGGAGGAGGGGATGGGGCTCAGGTCCTGGGGAGCCCCAAATCTCCGCCAATCCCACCCCGGCACTGCCGGAGCTTCATCTCATGTTCACCACGAGGCTCTGCACCAAAAACTGCTTCCAGCGAGCCCAGACTCGCCGGATTCTCTGTGCCCGGGCAGGGCTGCCCGGATCTCCCGGAAAGCTCCCGCAGCTCCGGGGGGCTGAGACCGAAACGCCCCCGGTTCCTCCAAGGGGCAGCTCCGTGGCTCAGCCTTTTGTCCCGGGGTCCTGCGGGATCCCCCCGGCTCCCGCACGGACCCCCGGCTCCGGCAGGGACAAAGCAGCTCCGATTCATCCCAAAGTTTCCCGAAGCCGCCCCTCCCCCGTCTCCCAGACCCGGGCTGGGCACCCCCAAAGCCCCTCAGCACTTGGGGGTTTGGGCAGCCGCCCCCCCAAAATCGGCAGCTTTGCAGCAGCTGCAGGAATTCCTTGTTTTCCACTTCTTCTTCCCTAAAATGCCCATCCCAGATTTTATCTAGCAGCGATATTTCTTCCAAATTTCGCCTTTTTTTTCGCTCTCCGCCCACCCCAGGCTGTCACAGACCCCCGGGCGCACCCCGAGCCCGGGGATACCGAACCTGTCCGGACCCCCCGACCCCTCAGGGAGCCCACCCGGGGCCGGGGGCAGCCGGTACCGGGAGTGGCACCGGGATGGGCACCGGGATCGGCACCGGGAGCGGAGTCCCCGCATCCCGCACCGCCCCTGCGGAGCCGCGGGCGGGCGGTGCCCGGTGCAGCCAAACTTTCCCGGTTCTCCCCGGTTTCTCCCGGTTCCTCCCCTCTCACCTGAGCTCCGGGCTGCGGGCTGGGGCCGCGCCCGCCCCGCCGCTCCCCGAGCCCATCCGGACCGGCCCCGCTCCCGGTGCCGCCGCCGTTCCCGGCCGCTCCACGGCGCCGCTTTCCCGGCTCGGGGAGCGGAGCGGAGCCGCCGCCGGCGCTTGCGGGGCCGGGGTTTGAATTCCTCCGAGCGGCCCTGATTGGGCTGCGGGAGGCGGGGGGAGCTGCGAGAGGGGGGGGCGGAGAGAGGGGTGGGGAGGGAGGGATGGAGGGAGGGACGCGTGGGGTGCGGGGATGCGGAGGGTGGGGAGGGATGCGGGAGATGGAGGATGCGGGGGTGTGGTACCCGGCTTGGTGGGGGGGATGCAGCGGCTGGGAGGAGGCGGGAGGGGGTGGGAAACACGCGGGGCTGCGGGAAGGTGGGAGAGGGGGGATGGGAGAGCGTGGGGATGCGGAAAGGTGCGTGGGATGCGGGGGGGAGGTGCGACCCTGGGGGGGATTTTAGGGGTGTGGTAACCCAGGGATACAGGTGGAGTGGGGAAATGCAGGGATGGGGTGCCCTGGGGGGATTTTAGGGATGGAGTACCCTGGGGGGGTTTAGGGATGTGGTTCCCTGGGGGGATTTTAGGGATGTGGTGCCTTGGGGGGGATTTTAGGGATGTGGTGCCCTGAGGGGGGGGGATTTTAGGGTTGTGGTACCTTGGGGGGGTTTAGGGATGGGGTTCCCTGGGGGTTTTTAGGGATGGGGTACTTTGGGGGGGATTTTAGGGATGTGGTGCCCTGGGGGTGCAGGGGCTGCGCTTTCGTGGCGGAGACGCCGAGGAATGTGCTGGGGGACCCCCGGGGAGGTGACAGCACAGGGACAGGGGGCTGCAGTGGGTGTGATCCTGCAGGAGGACCCTGAGTACGCAGGGAGGAGCAGAGCCATGGGAAATGCTGTGGAAATTCGGGACTGGGGGGTCCAGGTGGCTGCAGGGGCACCCATGGGAGTGGCCCCGGGGATGTGGGGGACAGGAGAGGCCGTGGGGGTGCAGGGAAGGGGACAGAGCCTTGGAGCAGCCCCGTGCTGGGACAGACAGGGGGGATCCAGGCCCCACGAGATTTTTTTTTTGCCAAGATCCTTTCCAAATGGCAGCTTGGAATTCCAGCACTGCTGCTGCTTGTGCCCGGCATCCTTCCCATCCCCTCCTTCCCATCCCATCCTTCCCATCCCATCCTTCCCATCCCCTCCTGCCCATCCCATCGTGCCGAGCAGAGGGTGATTTTATTTTCCCTCCACCCCTTGTGCCCAGTCCCTCCCCAGCTCTCCTGGAGCCCCTTTAGGCCCTGGAAGGAGCTCTGAGCTCTCCCTGGATGCTTCTCTTCCCCAGGTGAACATTCCCAGCTCTCCCAGCCTGGCTCTGGAGCAGAGATGCCCCATCCCACAAGGATCCATGTAGATTGGAGATGGGCAGAGCAAGGATAAACTCTGCCAGGGCTCTCACCTGACACTCCAAAGAAAATTCCACTATTCCCTGAAAATTACCAGCCCTTGCTGTGGGCACAACAGACTTGAGGAGGCTGGCGGGGGGAAAAAAAAAAGGGAAAAAACCGCCTGGAAAAGTGTTGCTGTGCGCGGCTTCGGTGTCTCCATGGCTACGGGAGCTCGTGGCAGACGATCCCGGGGAACTCGGACGTGCCGGTGCCAATGGAGACCGCGGGGCTCATCCCTGCCAGGGCAGGTCCCCCCTGCATCCCATGGGATGGGAGCAAAAAGGAGAGAGAGATCCCATGGGATTGGGAGCAAAAAGGAGAGAGAGATCCCATGGGAT